GGAAGAGATATACAAATTTTCAGTTTTGCGTTTTTTACCACTATTTCGACCCCTGTTGATGGATCTTCACCAAATTTGGTATGAAGGTTTGTTGGGTCCATGCGTAGATGCATGCAAATTTGCGGTTTCACACTTTGTGTTTGCAGTTTTTATTGGCGTTTTTTTACAATTACATATAAAGGTAGCAACTTTTCATGTCCTAAGATAACCTTTCATTAATCATGAATTTACATAACTTCCGTCCAGGGGACGGGTACTCCAGCTAGTTATAAAATACTTTCACAATGAATGCTGTGTTACATTAACACATTTATTTTGTTTCAAATTACCATTAGCTAGTTTGTGTGCATATACATGTACCTAAAACAGGGAGAAGTCACTTCGCCCTCCAGGTGCTGAACAGGGACAACTTTTTAAAAAGAAGATTCCATATTTCTGTATCAAGTGCATTCATAATGTGAAAACACTGTTTAATAAAGGTAATGTTGATTTAGGGGTTAATTATTTCCATTACTTGTGTGTGTGTGTGTGTACACATCTGAAGAATTAAATAATGATGATTTTATCTTTTTTAATTTAAAAACTTTTTTCTTCACTATCTAGAAAATTTCGTTAAAAATTTGAATCAATAACACAATCTGGCTTCACTCAAAATAACATACAACGTTTTACAATCACTTCTACCTCTTTATAAATTCAGGAGTGCCAAAATCCCTTGGAATCTTGCACATACAAACTCATGTCATTCTGATTCAAAACTTAGTGAACATTTTAGTCTTTTCCTTACCTACTTTTTGATCGACCTCTTGTTTATGGACAGAATTTGACTCAGATTCTTCCAAAGCTTTTATGTCTACCTAACTTGCTAGAGACATTTTGAGTGAATGAAGAATAACTAGTTATGGGCAGCAATATACAAATTTGATTTGACTACATGCTGAAAATCCTATAATATCTGTAAATTACAGAGTAAAGGAAATTTAAAATGATATCGCTTTATTGTACGTACCTTAAGTAATTAATAATTATCTACCACGACAAACAATCCAATCAAAAATACAAAATCCGTGTGCCAAAAAAAGACACACACACACACACACACGATATTCTTCCATAATGCACTGATAATAATTAATCCAACTATGTCTATCAAACAACATGTAGCAAGCTTTTATTCTGTATTTGAAACAAACTTTTAATATCAACCAATGCATATAATTGGTATTGATATACTCTTGAAGGATGATCATGAATTTTATTCATATTATGCATGCGTACGTCCTGTATTATGCATTTCAAGTTAGGAGAATATGGATAAGCATCTAGTGACTCAGTGATTTGACTTATTTCAAAGAGTTTGTAAACTGATTATGTGACAATACTGTTTTTTACCTCCAGCAAACCGAAATTGAAAATGATGAAGACTTAATTTTACCACAGGAGAAAATAACAGCAAGGTTGGAACTTTCCAGGCAAAGTTTATAGGCATCTTGCCTGGTAGTGACACCTGCATGTGAAAATTATCTAAACATGTGGTCATTTTTACTGCAGTTAAATGAGATAATGCTAATTTTCACAAACAGATAAAACTAGTAGACAACCCTCCACATCAAAATAAGTAGGAAGGTAATGTAGGTGTAATTCAGGAGTTCTGATTTCATCAAAGTAATTCAAGATAAATCTTTACATCTGGTTTATTTCGGCAAAATATAGCAAAAACCTGGTTCTGAGAAAAAGTAGCACTGGGGTAAAAACAGAAAACTATGCATCATTAGGTTTAAGCTCCTTACTAGGAGGAGATGATTACCATACCTGCTACCCTATTCTTCATTTATCGTAGCTCTGTGATTTTTCACAAATATAATGCTTTAAGCTTCATCTTGAAATCAACAACTATTGCCCTTTCTGTGCAGCTTATAAATCAATGTGTACATCCTGAACCACTCTTTTTTTGATTAGTGAAACAAATCTGATGTCACATAAAAAAAAAAAGTACAATTTTTTCCAGCATTCAAAAAGGATCTCTTCTGTCATTTAGTCGATCTTACCTTCACTTGCAATGCACTTTTCAAATATATCATTTACCTGGAAAATGAGTGCTTTGTAACTTTGACAACCATACACCAAGTATGCCTGTACTTCCCTTCTTGTAAGTCCATGTGTGTTAAAATGTGTAGCACATTCAATATTCTAGTGATTGTTGTACACATGCTTTTAATACAATCCTCTTGATATATTTCTCACATTGTGTTCCTGCATTCAGCTTTTTTTTCAAACTACTAGGAGAAGGATACTGGAGGGATCACTTTCTAGGCAACCTGATATACACCTGGAAAAAAGTTAAGCACCCCCAAATATTTTTCAGGA